TCCTTCTCTTCCTTCACCTGCTGCGAGGAGAGCAGGAGCCGGGTCTGGCTTTGGGAAACCCCAGCCTCACCGGCGCAGCCGTCCCGTCGTGTTGCTGGACTTGGCCTGTGGCCTGGGACCGGTCGTGGCCACCCTGCTCAGGGGCAGCCCCAGGCCGCCGGGAGCGCCCCGTACGCCCGTCCGGCAGTGAGCGATGCCTCTCTTCAGCAACACCTTCAGCCCGAAGAAGACCCCCCCCAGGAAATGTGCCTCTCTCTCTAACCTGCACTTGGTGAGTCCCGGTGCCTGTGGAGCGCTCTGTGGCGAGGGGTGGGGAGCTCCTGCTGTGAGCGCCGTAACCCTCCCAGGAGCTCCCAGCTGTGCCTCCTGTGGTGCGGCACCATTTCTGGTCACTGGTGACTGGATACGAAGGTGAACATTTAATAGCTCAGGAAAGGATCATCATCACCGCACCTACAGTCCAGAACTTTCATCTAGAACTTCCCACTAGTGGTCTCTAAGCCCAGGGAGATGAGTGTATGTTTGGGTGGGAGAAAGTGTAGGCACGGTAGTGAGAGGAACTGGTCCTCTACTGCAGCAGTATATGACTAAAGTAGGATTTCAGGTTCCAGGGTCCTTCAGACCAGCAGCTTCCACTGGAATGCCAGTGACTAAGAAACGGGAGAGCAGGGCGTGGCTTTGTATTTCTGTAAATGCTGAGTGTGATCTCCTTCCTGCAGCTGGATAGATCAACCCGTGAGATTGAGCTGGGCCTGGAGTACGGCAGTCCCACCATGAACCTCACTGGCCAGAGCCTCAAGTTTGAAAATGGCCAGTGGGTGGCAGGTAGAGTGTAGCTTGGCTTGTTTTGATCTGACGGTTGGCTGACAATCCGTATTTTGACCTCATTTTATCCTTCCAGAATCAGGAAGCATCACGGGAGACCGCAGGGAAATGCTGCGCTTGCGCAAACGAAACCAGCAGCTGGAGGAAGAAAACAACCTCCTTCGGCTAAAAGTGGATATTCTGCTGGACATGGTGAGTCTTTGCTGAACTGCTGTCTGCCCGCAGCAGGGGAAATGCCTGAGCAAAGGGTGCTGGGACCGCCAAAGGAGGCTGTTCTTGCTGCACCTCGCTCTTTCTGCTCTACCCTGCTGTGCAAGACAGCTTTAACGGCAAAAGGGACTGTGGTGGGGGGTAAAGTCTGATCCCCTCCACGAGAAGAGGGGAAGGTTTCCCCCACAGCAGAGCTTGACTTACATGAATGCTGTGACTGGATTAGAGAGGAGCCCCTGCAAGTGCCGTGTTTCCTCTTTAAAAAAATGGAGGATAGCATTTTTCTTGCCCCTCAGGCCTGGCTGTGAGACTATTTTATAGCCACCCTTTCTGGTCCCAGGTGATTAAAGCTTCCTTCTGCTGTGACAAGTGGTGTGATATATATTCTATGCGTAAACCTTCAATGAAAGAATTCCCAAGCCCTAAATAAACTGGAATTCATCCTTACGCAGAGATCAGAGTTTTTGTGCTTAAAATCAAGAA